TTAAGGTCTGTAAACAAGTCTGGATGGCGCCTGGCATTTTGCCAGAGGGAGTGGTTAATGTTAAAGTCTGTAAACAAGTCAGGATGGTGCCTGGCATATTGCCAGAGGGAGTGGTTTGTGAAGTAACGCCAGGGAGCCATTATGTGTGGAGATTCCTTATTGGTTGACTGATGTATCTAGTTTATGCTAATTAAGATAAGCTGTGTGGAATGTATAAATACCACTCCTGTCCTACAATAAACGGCTCCCACTCCTGTCCTACAATAAACGGCTCCCACTCCTGCTGTATCAATTTACACAAGTTGTTCATCACCCCCCCCACCCCCACCCACCCCCGTTATTTTGCTGCAGCCAGACTGTGGCAGAATCCCCCAGTTCTACCTCAGTAGTACTTACATCATGTGAGGTAGCTTCACTGTGAAGAATAAATGACAGTGGGGCATTGGTGGCCATGTCTATAATCCCAGTGGCTCTGAAGGATGAGACAGGAGGATCACGAGTTCAAAACCAGCCTCAGCAAAAGCAAGGCACTGAGCAACTCAGTGAGACCTTGTCTCTAAATAAAATGCTGCAGATGTGGCTCAGTGGTCAAATGCCCGGAATTCAATCTCAAGTACCAAAAAAAGAAAAGAATAAATGACAGTACTTATATTGCCAAAAGGAGAAAAAAAAAAATCTACCCAATTTTACAGAATCCTTTTAGCATGTTGGAAGAAAAAAAATTAAAGTGTGTAGTCCATAATTACAAGCTCTTTGTTCACTTATTAGATGTTTATTTCACCAGGTTTTGTACTGTTTAGATTGTGTTCTGTAAATTTGTGGTGCCAACTGATAGACCCAACCTGATCTTTTCTTAAAATTGGGAGCCATTTCGCCACAAAGCCATGAAAAGATAATTTCGGCTTTATTATAAATTACTGAAAATTCTGAACCTGCTTGGAATGCCTGCCCGTGCCTTGAACTCACCCATGCCTTGCTCTCTGACCAGATAGCAGCCCTCTCTGAAACTTTAGTGACGCCTCACAAATCTTGGCCTTCCCTGGCCAGATAACGACCTTCTCTGAGGCTCTAATGACCCTCATAAATTCTGATGTTGGGGCCAGCAAAAAATGTAAACTACCATCAGTGTTATGCTCATCAGAGTTCTGTTATCTGTAACCCCCCCTTTGTGTAACTTTCTGGGCTATAAAGCTGGGCTGCAGGAAAGCTGGGGTTGCTGTCTTGTTCCCGCCGTTTTGGGAGGGAGAGGCAGTCTGGCCGGTCGAAATAATAAGCTTGCTTTAATTTGATTTTAATTGAAGTCAGTGGTCTTTTCTTTCATCCTGGTCTAACACCAACTAACAGGGAAGCTACACAGAGAAACCTGGCTGGGGTGGGGGAAATCTTTGCTGTGATTTACCTAAGAATTGAAAGTGCTAATTCTATTTCTGTGCACACTCAGGAGAATTTGGGCTTTCTGGCCTTTTTATAGCTATAAACCTAACACTAAGAAAAAGGTGACTTATTTTTAAATTTAATTTAATTTTTTTATGATTTATTATTGTAATACGGCATGGCATGGCCTAGATACCTGCAAGTACAGACTGATTTTGTGCAATTGTTTTATAGTTTTGGGTTTTTTGTTTGGGTGAGGGGACTAAGCCAGGATCACTTTACCACTAAGCTACATCCCAGTCCTTTTTATTTTTTGGTTGGAGTCAGGGACTCACTCAGTTGCCAAGGCTGTCCTTGAATTTTGGATCCTCCTGCCTCAACAGCTGGAGTCTCTGGGGTTACAAGGTGCACCATCTCAAATGTTCCTCTGTCAGTTAGTCCTGCTGTTAGTTTGTGCTTGTGATGATTGACTTGATAAATGCTAAAGAGATCAGATGGCCGGCAGCAACAGTCTTATTGGAAAATTATTTTGTTTGGTTGACAGTTATTGGTTCATCCTGAACTGTTCAATTTAGATATCCTTGTTTCCAAAACCCTTGTCAGAACATTTCCTTGCTAGAATTTAGTCTTTTTTTCTCCTGCCTCCCCTTCCTTATATAAAGTGAGAAACTGATGTGATTCCATTTTTGAGAAACCAGCTTCTACCTCAAGGCCTGTCCAGAGGGAGGAGGCGTGACCCTTGTCCTTAGAAAAACCCAGAGTGTTCCTAGGCACATAGCCACCCTGCTGAGTTGTTTGTCTGTAAATAACTGGAGGGACAGCAGCGCCAGGTGTCCCTGACTCAGGTGAGGACCCATAGCAACCCTCTAACAACTACCAATCAGCATGAGACAGGGAAAATACCAGGGATGCCAGATGACCCCCCCCCAGTAGTCTCGGTGATTGATAATGTGTTAAGAAATCATGTAGTTTAGCATGTACACCCCTTACGGATTAAATCAATCAGTTCAAACGAATCCCCCTCTTGTACTAACCAATCACCCCTACCCAACTTGTTTCCGCCAGTAAATGTGCTAATCAATGTTAAGAGTTGCTGAAAAAAATACAATAAAAAAAGAATTGCTGTTTGTTTTCCCACGGTATGGAATGATTTGCTGTGTGATACTGTGACACATAGAGTTGAGAAAGGAATGTGACCCCATTTTTGAGAAACCAGCCTCTACCTCAGAGCAAAGCCTGTCCAAGGAAGGGGGCATGATCCTTGTCCTTGGAAGAACCCACGGAGCACGCCTAAGCACATACCCACCCTACTGAGTTGTTTGTCTACAAATAACAGGAGAGATCTGTGGCGCCAGGTGTCCCTGACTCAGTGAGGCTAGGTAAGGACCCATAGCAACCTCCCTAGCAACCACCAATCAGCATAAGATAGGGAAAATACCTGGGATGCCAGATGACCCCCCAGTAGTTTATGGTGGTTGATAACATGTTGGGAAACCCATGTAGTTCAACACGTACACCCCTCGTGGCCTAAACCAATCAGTTCAAAGGAATCTCCCTCTTGTACTAACCAATTACCCCTACCCAACTTGTTCCTGCCATTGAATGTGCTAATCAATGTTAAGAGTTATTGTTTGATTTTTCCCTCGGTATGGAATGATTTGCTGTGTGATGTTGTGACGCACAGAGTACCCCCAAAACCTATAAAATCTCACTGAACAAAGGACTAGGACTCACTCCCTGGGACCGCTGCATTGGAAAGGTTGTGAGCCCAGGTTCCACCTTGCAATAAAGACTCTCCTGTGATTGCATCAGATTGGGCTCCTGGAGGTCTATTGAGGTCCCACAAATCTGGCATTACAAAAGCTGTCCTTTTGCTTTTTTGTCTCTTTCTCCTGATCATTGCTACCTTGCTTGCTTTCCCCCCCCCACATACTTTTTAAAAAAATTGTTGATAGACCTTTATTTTATTTATTTATTTATATATGGTGCTGAGAATCGAACCCAGTGCCTCACACATGCCAGGCAAGTGTGCTACCACTGAGCCCCAGCACCAGCCCCCTTGCTCCCTTTTATTTTTTAATTTTTTTTTTAAAGAGAAAGTGAGAGAGGGGGACAGAGAGAGAGAATTTTAACATTTATTTATTTTTTTCTTAGTTCTTGGCGGACACAACATCTTTGTTGGTATGTGGTGCTGCTGAGGATCGAACCCGGGCCGCACGCATGCTAGGCGAGCGTGCTACCGCTTGAGCCACATCCCAGCCCCCTTGCTCCCTTTTAATATAGAAATTTTATGAGTTTACTTTATAAACATATCAAAGATAGGAGGCACTGTTCCCTTCAACCCAACTGGGTGCAGGTGGCACAGGGAATAGCTCAGGAAATTCAGCAGACTCACAGGGAAGCCCCTAAATAATATGGTCAAAAGGAACCTTACTGTCTCATTGGGAAGACATAAGGGGTGACTGCCCTCTGTACTGAGCCCCAACAGTTTTGTCTTGCAAATGAGCAGATAAATAAGAGATGCAAGGAGACAGCTGGCCTTGGGGCAAAAGCCTTGGACACAAGACTCATAAACAGTAACTAACCTGGTCTAAACCACAAGTGCCATCAGTTAGCTCAGAGGCCCCAGGCAGTTTCAGGAGAAGGGGTTCTTCCACCTAAATGAGAAATTCAAGGAAGGAGGAAGCACTGGGAGAAAAGCCCTGTCTGGCACTCCAGCTGGTTTGATGTGTGATAATTATGGTTCCTCAATTTGCCTGTACTTAAAAAGTGGGGAATATCCCCTCCCCTACCTCTCCTTCCCTGTTACCATGAGCTGAGCAGCCTTCTTCCACCAAGCCCTTTTGCCATGATGTTTCTGCCTTGGAGCAGACAACCCTGGGATGGGGCCTCTGAAACCATGAGCCACAATTAACTTTTCCTCCTTTAGGTTGTTTATGTCAAGAGTTTTGATTACCAGAATGAAAAGCTCACTAATACACAGGAGAAAATGATGTATTTTCTGAATGGGAAAAGCAAGCCACACAATAAAACAATATAGAAAAGACAGCTTTTTACTTTAAAAAAAGAGATATACATGTACATATTAACAGAAAAAAACTTCGTTTTTAGAAAATGAGATTATAGGTCACTTAGATTGGGGAGCAATACTCTAATAAAATAAATTTACTCTTTTGTGTATACTGGGGATTGAATTCTGTGGTGCTCTACCACTGAACCACATCCCAAGACCTTTTTATTTTGAGACAGTTTCACTAAGTTGCTGAGGCTGACCTTGAACTTGTGATTCTCCTTCCTCAGCCTCCTGAATGGCTAGGATTGTAGGCTTGACCACTGCACTCGGTTGTAATGTATTTATATTTTATATTGATTAAATTCATAACAGATTGCAATGTATCCATTATAATATGAATAAATAAAATTCATAAGAAATTTAAAAAAATAACAAGAAAATATTGCCTGATCCTACCAACTGGTTCTTGACTATTGCTATGTTCTTTAAGGTTCTGTCAGTTCCGCACCCTCACACGATAGCTACCAGAACCCTGTTTCCCAGACAACCTGACAGCCTTAAAAATGTTGCTTTACAGTCGGTCGGGAGTCCTCGCCGGAAGGGTGAATCGTAGTCCCCGGCCGGAATGAGTCCGGAGGAGTGGTGTCCCGGGCCCGGAAAGTGTCCGGGTCGTCGGGGAATCGTAGTTCCCGGAACTGGAAGGGAACGGACAGCCGGAAACTGGATCCGCCAAGCCCGGGCTTCCGGGTGCCGTGTTCTCCGCGACAAGAGAGCTGGGTCGGCGACCTGGCGGGGCTGGGCCTCCTGTCTGACCAGGGTTACCGGGTGGACGGTCGTCGCGCTGCAGAGCTGCGCAAGATCCAGGCGCGCAGGGGCGTGTTCGCGCAGACCGACGGCTCTGCCTACGTAGAGCAACCTTCACACCCAGGCGCCGGCAGTGGCCTACTGGCGGCTCGAGGCGAGCGGGCCGCGCGGGATTGGCGGGGTCGCGGGCGCGCCTCCCGTTTACGCAGCGAATGCTCGATGCCAACTATCGGATGAGTAAATGTCCAAGTTATTAAGGTGCATCCTTGGGTATGCCCTGTCTCTCTCCTGCGCCCTGCACTCCGCAGTCGGGCTCCTCATCGTGTCAGGCTGTCGCCCACTCGGCCACTTCCCGGCAATTCTATTCACGTCACGTTTGGGAACGTCATTTCTACTTAATCTTACTCGTTTGTCTTTCCTATAAACTCTCTGAGAGCCTCGACTTTAAATAAAATTGTCTGATTTTATTGCTGTGTTCTATGCTGCAAAAGTGCCTCCCCAATGCAGAAATAATTTTTAATTGCTTAGCACATAATGTGGGAGCCCAACTTCTTAGGTGAAAGAAGCCAGGATGAAGGCAATGGATAGAAACAAACGTGACATTTCTGCAAAGCCAAAAGAATGCTGGTGGATGGAGAGGGGATAATTCCAAATAACCGTTTCCAGGGAGATCCGGGTTCCAGTTCTGCCTGATCGGGCTCTGGTGAACTGTCAGTATAGTTCAGCAACCTTCAGCACAGGTGAGCGCAAGCGGAGGCCACATGGAGGCTGTAAGACCTGTGAAATGGGCCTACAGCTGTGCCAGACCTTTTCTTACTGAGCTGCACCCACGATCCCAGATTGACATCTGTGTGCAGGTACTGCAGGCTGATGGTGGAACCTACGCAGCTTGTGTGATGGCCGTGTTGGATGCTGGGATACCCATGCCGGACTTTGTGCATGTTCAGCTGGTTTTGTGGAAGACACAGCCCTGGGAGACCTCAGCCACATGGAGGAAGCAGCTGGTGGTCCCCAACTAGCCCTGGCTCTGCTGCCAGCCTCAGGCAGGATTGCGCTGTTCAAAATGGATGCCCGGCTGCATGAGGACCACTTGTAGTGGGTGCTGGAGGCCGATGCCCAAGCTGCTAGAGATGTGCACACCTTGTTGGACCATGTGGTATGGCAACATGTGCATGAGGCATCTATCTTGATGGGGGACTGAGCACCCAGCCACCTATGTCCAGAATAAAGTCCCGCTCTGTTAGAGTCTGTAAACAAGTCAGGATGGCACCTGGCATTTTGCCAGAGAAATGTTAGAGTTCATAAACAAGTCTGGATGGTGCCTGGCAAAATGCCAGAGGGAGTGGTTTGAGAAATAACAATAAGTGTGGAGATTCCTTATTGGTTGACTGATGTATCTAGTTTATGCTAATTAAGATAAGCTGTGTGAAATGTATAAATACCTCTGTTGTCCTACAATAAAGGGCTCCCACTCCTGCTGTATGAATCTACACAAGTTGTTCGTCACAGCCCCCCCTTATTTTGCTGCAGCTGGACTGCAGCACCGCTCCTCTGCTTAACAACAACAAAAAATGTCGCTTTAAGCAACTAGTTTCAAGCAGCCCATACCTCTAGTCCCAGTCACTCAGGAGACTAAGGCAGGAGGACCCCTTGAGCCCAGGAGTTGGAGGCCAGCGTGGGCAACATAGTGAGACAAAAGAAGAAAGGAGAGGAAAGGAAGACAAAAGTTTGTGTTTTTAATTTTTAAATATTTTTTTGGTACCAGGGATTGAACTCGGGGGCGCTCAACCATCGAACCACATTTTGTATTATTTATTTATTTATTTTAAAGAGAGAATTTTAATATTTTTTAGTTTTCGGCAGACACAACATCTTTGTTTGTATGTGGTGCTGAGGATCGAACCCGGGCTGTACACATGCCAGGAGAGCGTGCTACCACTTGAGCCACATCCCCAGCCCCTTGTATTGTATTTACAGACAGGTTCTCACTGCATTGCTTAGTGTTTCACTTTTGCTGAGGCTGGCTTCGAACTCATGATCCTCCTGTTTCAGCCTTCAGAGTCTCTGGGATTACAGGTGTGTGCCACTACTCCCTGCCCAGGTTTGTGTTTGTAAATGAGGAGATATAAACTGGGCACAGTCGCTAACACCTGTTATCCCAGCAGCTTGGGAGGTTGAGGCAGAAGGATCAAAAGTGCAAGGCCAGCCTCAGCAACTTAGCGAGACTGTGTCTCAAAATAAACAATAAAAAGGGTTGGAGATGTGCTCAGTGGTACAGGGCCCCTGGTTCAACCCCCAGCACCAAAAGAAAAGAAAAAAGCATATGCAGCCTGGAACACAGGCCTGGGGAAGGCGTGGCAGGCCTGGTTCTTCATAATTAGGGCTTCATTTCAGCATCACCTTCATATCTTCCTCAGCTGGAATCCTGTTCTCCAGCACCTGGGAAGTCAGCACCCTTGGCTCTGGGCTGGGGCTCACACACCGTGGTGTTTTCCAGACTCCCTGCAGTGAGAAACTGTGGCTTCTAACTTGGTTACTGCTGCAGCCCTAGTGGCCACACCCAGCATTCTTGAAGGGAAAGGCCAAGGTACAGTCTTTGGGCTAGTGATTGACACTTGGGGCAGGGGCCCTAGACATACCTGCCTGAGCAGGTCAGTCAGCCACAACCCGGGTCCTACGGGACAGTCACGGAGACTAAAGTACAATCTGTAATGATCTGAGCATAGAACCTGCTTTTTGCAAATAAGCGCAATGAATTTGTGCACAGTTTTAACACTAAAATTTCTAAATTTTTTTTTTCCTTAGGGATCATTTTCAAGGTGCTTCTATGCACAGGTTCATCTGTGACCTCTGTATTGTTGCGGCGCAAGCATTCAGGTTGGTTCACTGTTTTCCCTGCGTTTCTCCTTTACTTTAGAGTTCGGGCATTTCCAAATTCACCATGTAGACATGTTATGTGAGCTTACAATTTCCCTCAGATAGTAGACAGGATACTAAATGTGACCTGTTTGAGGACACTTTGTGTCTGAAGGGGCTGAGACCTCTGGCACTGAGACCTTAAGGCACATAAAGCAGGGGCCACCTCTGCAGTCCCTGCACCTGAAATAGTGGAAGGTACCCAAATATTTGTTGACTGAATGACTTCACTAGGACAATCTTTTGAAGAAGTTAATACCAGCACTTTGCTGGTATTAATATGTCCTTTGCATATAGTAAGTGACCAATATAAGTGACCAAGAAATAATATATATATTTCTTGAATGAATGCATGAAAATGGTTGAGCTTTTAGCAGGAGAGGAAGGCTGTAGGAATTATGTTTAAGATGATTTTGTCACTTACCCAGCCCTTTGGGAATTGGGGGAACATTTTGAGGGGCCCATGCAGTGAATTTAATTCAAGAAATAGTCTTTGAAGGGAAATAAAGGTAAGAAAGAAAGGCTTCCGTACTTTCATTTTGTTTGTTCATTGAACCAATGTCTATCTATTACCCGCTGTGTGTCAGGTCCTAGGAGGCGAACTATTCATGGTAGCAATAGGCTTTGGGAAAGAGATGATTAAAAAAATACAGCAATGTACAAAATAGAAATGTTTTTAAAATTAGCTTTAATCTTCCTTCCCAGATGATCTCAGTGACATTTAAAAAAATAATGTATGTATAGTCATTTCCCCTTACACTTGGGGGACACATTCCAAGACCCCCATTGGATATCTGAAAACTTAGATGATACTGAACTATAAATACTCTTTTGCCTCATATCCGTGATGATGTTTAATTTATAAATTAGAAAGTACAAACAATCTTGAGATCACCAGATTGATTTCATTCTATGTTCCTTTCCATAGCTATCCCTCACCAGAAGTGTGTGTGTGTGTGTGTGTGTGTGTGTGTGTGTGTGTCTGGGGATTGAACCCAGGGCCTCGTGCATGTGAGGCAAACACTCTACCAACTGAGATATATTCCCAGCCCCGACTGGGTTTTCTTTAAAAGGAGTGACAGGAAGCCCAAGACACACTTCTCACTCTGGAGGTGGTACACATTCCCTTGAATGTGATCTACTTTCCTAAATCAACCTCTGTCTAGGTCTCTGGATAACGCATACTTACACTAGTTTTCCACATGTGGACCTAGCACCCTGCTAGTCCTGAATCAGGTTCCCACTTCTCTCTGGGAGCTCTTCAGTCATTTCCCTGAAAATACCTCTCCTCCCATGACAACACTCTGAAATACTATCTGAAAAATCCTGCCATCTGGGCAGCCCTGCTGCTGAAAACCCAATCTGCCTCTGTTTGCTTTGACTGAGTAAACATTTTGTTATTGTTTACATGAGATGCAATTATACACCAGGTCACAAGTCTATTTGTGATCATTTGCATGGTTTCCTAAATTTACAAGATGTTTAATGTTGTTTTTTAATTTTGGTCGGTCAGTGATGTTAAACTGTACAGACCTGTTAAAGGCAGAGTCACATAATGATAGTTACCCTACACACCAGGGATTCTACATTTTACTTCAAAAGTAAAAGCTAGGTTAATGTGCAAAGGACTTTTATGTAACTGCGATGCTAATTATTATCAGCTTCTTTGAAACTTCAATGTATTTATGTTCACCAAGTATACAAACCTTCTAAGTTGCAAAGTTTAGGAGAACACTGTGTGTGTGTGTGTGTGTGTGTGTGTGTGTGTGTGTGTGTGTTGTTACTGGGGATTGAACCCAGGGCACTCTACCACTGAGCCACATCCCCAGCCCTTTTTATTTTGTATTTGGAGGTAGGGGCTTGCTAAGTTGCTTAGGACCTCACTAAATGCTGAGGGCAACCTGTAACTTACGATCCTCCTACCTCAGTCCCCTCAGTTTCTACTCAGTTGCTGGGATTTCAGGCATGTGCCACCAGCTTGGCTTTAGAAGAACACTTTACCAAGTTGGGGTTTTCCAAGTTAAAATTGTTAGCAGTGGGGCTGGGGCTGGGGCTCAGTGGTATAGCACAGCCCCCACCTAGCACGTGTGAGGCACTGGGTTTGATCCTCAGCACCACATAAAAATAAATAAATAAAATAAAGGTATTGTGTCCAACTACAACTAAAAAAATATTTTTAAAAAATTGTTAGCAGTGATGACCTTTTTCAGGCTTATGTTTGTGAGTTCCTAATTGTTGGGTTGAACACTAGGCAGCTTATGGGAAAGCTTGCAATGAGATTAGGTCTCTAAGAGGTAATGAGGGAAATGAGGATGGGGGCTGACCACTGCCCTTATCTCCAAGCCTCAGGAGAAGATCTAAACAGGTCCTGGTTGTCAGTAAAGGAATGGACTCATGAAATACCTGAAGGCCTTCCTGTGCCGTGAGCAGGCATCTATTCTATGTATTCCCGCAGCTTAAGCCCAGTGCTGCTGGGATAAATGAGGTAAGCAACAAAGAAGTAAATTAGGAATAAAATGGCCAAAACCTTACAGGCATGGTGGCGCGCTCCTATAATTCCAGCAGAGAATTCAAAGCCAGCCTCTGCAAAAGCAAGGCACTAAGCAACTCAGTGAGACCCTGTCTCTATATAAAATACAAAATAGGGCTGAGGATGGGGCTCAGTGGTTGAATGCCCCTGAGTCCAATCCCTGGTAGCCCTCCCCCACAAAAAAAAGGCCAAAACCTCTTGAAAAACAGCACTCTGGGGCCTTTGCAGCCCTGGGGTTGAATAATAGGTGCAGTCAGCTGGGGGTGGAGTGTGGGGGTGGGGGGAGGAACTGGGCTTGCCAGGAGCCTCCATGTGGTTAGAGGTAGCTCCCCCATTGGAGGGGTTTGGAGGGGTGGGGACCACCACATGAATACAGGGATGCCCCCCCCCCCCACCAAAACACAAAGAGGGGTGCTGCAGGGCTGGCAAGGTCCCTGCTGTGTGCATTAAACTTAGCCACAGACCTGAGCTAGCCACTCGTTCTCCCCAATCCCCAGGAACAGTTGAAACTAGAGAGAGATGCCCCATTTAGCACAGGTTGACAGCAAAGATATGTTGTCACGGCCCTTAGAACCTACAGATGAGTGAATGCAGGTCACAGAATGACAACAGGCTAACCTGATAAGACGTGGCCTGCTCAGAGCCTGTTGGCAACAAGTGGAAACTGGGGCCCTTGGACATGGGCCCTGCTCAGGGTGTCCACCAGTTCCAGCGACTCAGAAGTTGAGGTGGCAGATGAAGACACAGAGGAAGATGGACCAGCAGTGGTCCAAAAAAGAGAGAGAGAGAGCCCCAGCAGGAACAGCCTGAGGGACTTCCTGATATGTTTCCTGCCAGGATGTCCACAGCCCCCCAGGAAGCCACATGCTCCAGAACTGGTGGGACTGGGGGCCAAGTTCAGGCAGGGAGTGAAAGACCCTTGGAACCCTCTATCTTGGATTCTGGCCCCGGGGGAGTGGGAGAGCCTAAGTTTCCCTTGTGTTAATCCCCCAAGTTAGTGTTGCTTCAGCACACAGAAAACTGATATGATGGTTCATAGCAATGTGGAGCTGGAAAGTTCAAGTTAATAGCCAGGTTGTTCCACTGGCACGGATTGGATTTCTTGTAAGTTCTTTGGCCTCTGTGACTCAGCTTCCTCATTTCTTTCTTTTTTTCCCTTGGATACTGGGGATGGAACTCAGGGGTACTTGACCACTGAGCCACATCCCCAGCCCTATTTTGTATTTTATTTAGAGACAGGGTCTCATTGAGTTGCTGAGGCTGGCTTTGAACTCGCAATCCTCCTGCCTTAGACTCCTGAGCCGCTGGGATTACAGGCCTGCACGGTGGTGCCAGGCCCAGCTTCCTTGTTTCTAAGTAGTGTTGATCATTTTTCCCCCAGAGGCAAATTTTACCCAGATGTAAAGACACTGGTGCCCTAGCTGCCAAGTGGAGCAGCAAGCCTACGGGTCCCTGCCTAGAAGCAGCAGAGGAGCAGTGGAGCAGTGGCCTGGGTGGGTTGGAGCTCAGGTGGCAAGCATGGCCCCTGACAGTGTGGAGCCTGCCAGGCAGTCTGGTGGGTCTGACATTCTGAGAGCCAAGATGAGAGGACCTGTCACCCTTTGTCCACCAGGCCTGGGTATGGTACAGATAGATGCTTGCGGCAGAAACCAGGTGCATGCAGCGCTGCAGCAACCTGCTAGCATCAACCATGACCATTGGAAGACCTCAACTCTCAACAACTCCCAACCCCACTTCCTGACCTGTGGTGAGAAAATGGAAATGGGGCAGACCTGAATGGAAGTCCAGATTCTAGAACTGATCTATACTGTTAGTAGGTTTACAAACCCTAATTTGCATAAATTTGGATCATTGTCATTAGTAGTTTTCAACCCTAGTTGGCAAAAGTTTGGACCAATAGCAATGACCCAAGTGCTAGACCCAAGTCTAGCACACTCCTGCAAGGAAACATGCTATGGAGTCCCCTCTTGGATGGCAAAGTTTCTTTTCCTGTTCTTCAATAAATTCTGCTGTTATACTCACACATCCTGCCTGGTCTGTGGGTTTCATTCTTTGAATTTCTGAGACAAGAACCCAGAAAGAAAAAGATTGATGGTGAGCTGCGGGGAGGGCAGGGCCGGTCATTAAGAACTGCAACACTTGGGGCCGCAGAGGCTGCCACTTGTGCAAATCCCACCCACCAGCAGAAGTGGAGAAACCCCGAGTAACTGTAACTTCATCAGTACCCAGTTCATGTTATCTGCTCTCACTAATTTTGTCAATATGAACTATATTTCTTTGTTCCACTTGATGGCTGTGGTTTTCAATTCTGTATTATCACACATCAGTAATCTTGGTATTTTACTTCTGTGGTGTTTATTGGTACTGTCTGAAGTTTATCCATTTTTATATTTTAGGCATTCCTCTTTTAAACAACATATACCAGGATATTATTACTGATGCTTTCTTAGCAGAGGACCTAATTTTATTGAAATTTACTGTTAACAATTGATGGGACTGGCTTGAATCAGGCCATCTCAATTTAATTGTTCCACTGTTTTTTTTAAAAATAATTAAACTGTTTGGTTACATATTTCTACTAATGTGGTCTAGCTTTTAGTTCTTTGTTCCCCCAAATTTGGGTGGTTTGAAAACTGTCAGTTTCTATGTCACCATTAAAAAAATTGAAAGGTTAATATCTCTTTAGTTCTCTACCTAAATGAACAATATTCATCCCTCACTCTGGTCCCCTCCCCATTCCACATTTATGAAGCTTTACTATTCATTTACTTTTCAGGTCCCAGTCTCAATGTTTTTATTTAATGGGAAATATTTCACATTAATTTTAAGTTTTTTTGTGCTTTTTGGCAGTGCTGGGGACGGAACCCAGGGCCTCATTGTGCATGGTAAGCAAGCACTCCATCACTGAGCCACACTCCAACCCTTGTATTTCAAGTTTTTGTTAATTTCACCTTTATATTATGCCACTTCTATGTCCAATATTTTACTTGGATAGTTAGTGGAAGATACTGATGGTTGGGGTCAATTTGGAATCGTCAGGGTGTAAGAACAGGGAGTGTCAGCCTTTCCCAGGCAGGTGGCAGAGCAAGGGAGCCACTTTGCAAGGCAGCCTCACAACACCTAGGATTCTCTCCCTACCCTATGATAAGAGACTGGGGTTGTCGTAAAAAAAAAAAAAAAAGCCCACCCTTTTGTTGGACATTACTTATTCATTCCTATATCTGTTTTCCTTCTGTTGTCGAACCTGCTTTCCAAGGCCCTGCAACCCACCTACTCCGGGCACTCATGTTCTACCCTGCCTCATGGTGGGATGCAAACACAAGTCAGATTCACAAGGGCCAGGGGCAGCCCAGCTGTCTCAACACCTCAGGCTGAGTCATCAGGGTCAGCCCCACTAGTGGCTTTCAGATTGACTGTGTACCTGGGTCTACACAGCCACCTCTCAGAAGACATGGATATAGCTCCTGGTCTTGACCCAGAACTGCTATATCTCTAGACATTTCCAGTTATTTGCCACATTTCCTTTATCCTTTCTATTTATTTGACTGATTTATTTTGTTGTTTTTATGTGTCTTTTCTGACATTGGGGGTTTTACCCAAGTTTTTTTTTTTTTTTTAGTCTTTTTTTTCTCTGTAAGATTAAAGTCTGGAATTATAACTCACAAACTAAGCAGCAAGGTGACAGGGTTCAGGAATTCTGAGTGAGGACTGAGTATCAGAATGTCATGAGGTTTAGTTTGCTCCTGTGTTGCATAAGGATCTTTGAAACATGTAAGCAGGTATAGTTAGGTCTTCTTTTCACAGCACAGAAGCATGATACAAAATAAGAGAAAGAATTGTCAAATAGTCTAGGATACTGATCCTCCATTTTAGCATCAGAACTTCCAGGGTCATAGGTGAGAATGCAGATTCCTGAGCCCCAACCCAGAAATGCGGATTCTGTAGATCTGTGGAGAGCCCAGCCAAGGTTTCATTATAAGAATGTTAAGAGGTCGGGGGACATTTAAGGGTGTTTAGTGGTGGGTCTTAGGGAGAAGTCTCTAGATTATTGGGGTGTGCCTTTGGAAGGGGTCGATGTAGTTCTCATGGGACCCCAGCTGTGCTTCAGTTTCCTGAATTAAGATGTGATCTCTCCTGTCACATGTCCTCCCATCATTGTGATGCACCATGAGTCCTTCACCAGAGGCCAAGCAGATGCTGGTGCCATGACCTTAAACCTCTAGAATTGTGAGCTACATGAGTCTCTTTTCTTTCTACCTTATCAGCCTAGGGAATCTTGCTATAGTAACAGAAAACTGATGAAGACAAGGGGGATTTGGAGTGACTTCACGGGCAGGTGAGTATTAAAGGTTCTCTACTGGCCTTTGCTGATATTTGGCTGGAGTAAAGCCATCATTGTCCAAAAACTGTTAAACTTTCCTCCTTCCGGTCCTTTGGCTAGAGAGAAATTTGGGGGTGGCTTTGTTGGTTTTCTTCGATTACTATTTCTAGATTGTTGACTTCTTCAGTTTCCAGTCTTGGACACATGATGTGAAAAGAAAGTCCAGGGAAGTCATCAACACATCGTTCTTTGATTCTGAAGATTCCAGTCTGCCTTTTTCTCTCCACCATTCACAGTCTTATGTATTTACCTAGTGAGAAGAAGAGAAAAAATAGTCTACTCCATTGCAGCATATCCCTACATGGTTTATAACAAATAAAATGATTAAAAGGAAAAAACTCAATATTTTAGTATCTTTAAATTTTTTATTCAATACATAAAATTATGCATATTTATAGATTACTGTGTGATGTTTAAATACATGAACAATTGTGTAATATTCAAACTAGGTAACCTGGTTTGAATCACAGCTGTTTTTCCTGAGTTTTTGATCTGAGGCCCCTATTTTGCACTGGGCCCTTTAGCTTTGTCATGTCCTGCTGTCGGCAGGTTGACTGACATCTAGGAAGGCCACACCCATTTCACGAGCTGTGTGGGGATCATGGCAGAGCAAGGGAAAAGACCAGAGCGAAGCCCACCTAAACAGAGGGGCAACGTCAGTTCAGTCCACTTTGTGTGCTCAATACACATAGTTCACACACACAGCCCATGGCTGGCTTGCCACATCTCCATATTCTCATCACTCAAGGCCAAGGGGTGCTCAATTCCTATGTGGCAGCTCCCAACATCCATGGAACTGCAGATCAGGACTCTACACTCACTCTGGGCTTAGCCCACCTCATCCAATCACCATTGACTTGCATCCAACAGTCTCCAGTTCTTTGCCTAGCACCTTAGAGTTGCACCTTTGTCTTGCACCATTGAGACTACTTGGGCTACTCTGATGTTTGAGGAATGTCTGCCTCTTGAATTGGGGCTCCTAACTGTCTGATGGGTAAGTTCCCTGAGCTGGTTCCTGTGGCCCCACCAGGTTCCCTTGTGCTCTCAGGGGTCCTTGTGCTGTCATGTTAGGAGGGCTAGATCCCCCATAGATCACTGGCACCAGGTGAGGTCACCTCCCATGGCATGCTGAGGCCTGCACCTTAGTGACAAAGGATCTGTTAGACTCAACTCCCTGAAACCTGACCCTCATTTGAATGGCTTCTCCCCAATAAAAGGGTTCAGCATGTGCTTGCTCTCTCTTTCCACAGACCCCTAAGGTCAAAGGAGCTGCCATGAACCCAAAGTAAAAGGTATTTCTCTGTGATTATTTTGTGCAGCCCGGTTCACCTGGAGTGACTCTTGAGTGTTTAGTCATGGAACAGGACACACGATGATCTTCATACAGCTTGTGCCAACACCAGGCTCTCCATAATGTCGGCGAGCCTGGTCCAGGTCAGGGGTTTATACCAACCTGCCAATGTTAAGAGGCACCTGACGAGACAGGATGGCCAGAGACTGATGGAGTGATCATTCACTCCTTTCCCTCTTTCCCTTCTTGTGTGTATGACTGTCATCTTTTAGAAGGAGGAAATGGGTGGCAAACAGAGTAAGTGTATACCCCTAGGGTGTACGATAAATAATTTCAAAAAGGGATATTCTGGAGACTATGGGGTTAAGGTAACCACTGGAAAGCTCCAGACTTTCTGTGAAATACATGGGCCCTCATTCCGAGTAGGCTGGCTCACCTAGGGGTCCCTAGACACAGAACTAGTTAGCAAGGTGTTTAGAGTTGTTAAAGGTGACCCTGGGCACTCTGACCAGTTTCCTTATATTGATTGCTGGCAAGACATCATCCTCTCTCAGCCATGTTTGCTAAAGGCTTGCCTGGAAGAGGACTGTAAAATTATGATGCCTCAAAATGCTATGGAACCTGAGAAGCCCATTCTATCTGAGGAGACAGAGGATATTCCACTTTATTCCTCCTGAGTGCCAGGAGGACCTGCTGGCAGCTCCTCTTAAATAGATGCCAAGGGGCTGGGGATGTGGCTCAAGCGGTTGCGCGCTCGCCTGATATGCGTGCGACCCGGGTTCGATCCTCAGCACCACATACCAACAAAGATGTTGTGTCCGCCGAGAATTGAAAAATAAATATTAAAAAAAAATTCTCTCTCTCTCTCTCTCTCTCTCTCTCTCTCTCTCTCCCTCTCTCTTGCTCTCTCTTTAAAAAAAAAAAAAAAAAAGATGCCAAGGTGCCCTGAAAATGCCACTAAGACAAACCCAGGGGCCCATTTACTATGATCAAGATAGGTGCAAGGAGGACAACGGACTTTCATATTATCAGCCTTTTGCCACCACTGATCTCCTGCATTGGAGAAACCGCAACCCTTCCTTCACTGACAAGCCTCAGGCTATGATTGATTTAATGCAATCCATCATTCAGACCCACAAGTCCACTTGCACTGAGCGCCACCAGCTACTTCGGACTCAATTTAACACTGAAGAACACTGCTGAGTTACCCAGGCCATGTTAAAGTGGTTGGAAGAACCCTTAAAGTGGTGGCAGAACTGAGAATGCCCAAGCTGATGCCCTGAGCCAATTCCTGAAGAAAGATTCACCAATGGGACCCTAACGATGACCAGGGATTTCAGATGCTTGAGCATTATTAAGAAGCACTATTAGGCAGCATGAAAGAGGGAGGAAAGAAGGCCATGAAGATGAACAAGACCTCAGAGGTGTTCTAGGGACCAGAAGTGAGCCCAAGTCAATTCTATGAGAGGCAACATGAAGCCGTCTGTCTTTGTACACCTTTCAACCCAGAAGCAGCTGAAAGTCAGCAGCTGGTTAATGCAACTTTTGTTGGTCATACCCAGGGAGACTTCTGACGTAAACTGCTGAAGTTAGACGGCTTTGCTGGAATGAATGCAAACTAACTATTGGAGGTGATGATGAAAGCATTCGTCAATTGAAACCAATAGGCCCATGTGAGGCAGACCAGAGAATGAAGAAGGTAAATCTACTTGTCACTGCCCTCGTGGGACCTTCGGGACATGCCCTGAGAGGTATCCTGGAGGGCTAGAGTAAAGGCCAGAGAAGCAGCCATCAAGAAGAACCACCTTGCCCAGAGATTGATTAAGACAGAGCCAATGTGCTTGTTGCCATCAAGGTCACTGAAGAACAAGTGTCACTGAGAGAGGATTACCATCCAGTCCCTGGACCAAGGGGGAGGGGCTGAGTGATTCAAGGATGGTACCAACCACCATGGCAACCATATGAAGTCCTTGAGGATAATTTTGTTGGATTAGTCACTATGGGAAACTATAATGAAGACCAGGAGACTGGGCTCCATTTTGTTAGGCTCCCAGGAGCCTATGGTCCAAGTGACTGTGGGGGCTGGCCCATGAACTTCATGGTCGATGCTGGTGTAGAACATTCTATGGTGACCCAACCTGTGGGCCCTCTCTCACAGAAACAAGCCACTACTGTGGGAGCCACAGGTAGCCTAGCTCATTGATCCTTTGTGCTCCCTCAGTGATGCAGTTTAGATGGCCATGAAGTCATTCATGAATTCCTATACCTCCCTGACTGGCCTGTGGCCTTAATGAGTCGGAACTTATTAGGAAAACTGCAGGCCCAGATAACTTTCAACTCTTGTGGCCAGGCTTTCTTGACCCTAGGAAAGCCAAAAGCAAAAATCCTCACTCTCCCGGTTCCCCAAGGAGAAGAGTGGTGCTTCTGTAGTCTTGTACAAAGGCCACAACAGGGATCTGAGCTTCTTTTCAAGGTTCCTGGGGTATGGGCTGAGGACAAGTCTACTGAACAGGCCCAAAATATACCCCCAATAGTAGTAGAACTAAAACCAGAAACTGGGCCCACCTTCTAAAAACAATATTTCATTCCTTGAAAGGCACAGATTGGAATCCTCTGATCTTGCCAGTCATCCCGGAACACTCCTCTCCTGGCAGTCCAGAAGCCAGGAACAGTTGCCAGCTGGCTGGTTCAGGACTCCAGAACAGTAAACCAGGCCACCAATACCCTGCACCCAGTCGTCCTTCACCCTATACTCTCCTGGGCCTTATCCCCACTGAAGCTGCCTTCTTCCCATGTCAGGATCTCAAGGATGCCTTCTTCTGTATCCACCTGCCCCTCCCACTGCTGGTAAACCAATCTTTGCCTTCCGATGGGAAAATCCTGAGAATAGGGACAAAGTCCAGCTAACGTGGACTAGACTGCCTCAAGGATGTAAAAATTCTCTGACTTTTTTCTGCACAACATTAGCCTCTGATTTAAAAGACTTCCCAGTGGATAAACATAGCCATATGCTGCTCCGGTATGTAGACAACCTACCACTTGCCAGACAGACCCAGGAGGATGGCTTGGAAGGGACACAACAACACCTCACCCTCCTATGGGAAGCTGGCTACAAGGTTTCAAGGAAAAGGGCCCAAATCTGTCAAAAAAAAAAAAAAAAAAAAAAAAAGGTCAAATACCTCATCTACCCGAGGGACAATGTCAACTTGGCCTGGAGAGAAAGCAGGCCATCTGCTCAATCTCGGTTCCCTCAACTGACTCGAGGTTCAGGAACTCCTCAGGGCAGCAGCTTTCTGTGGAATCTGGATACCTAACTTCTCTATCGTAACAAAGCCCCTTTATGAGGCCACAAAGTCGGGAGAGGAAGAGCCTTTGTTATGGGAATGAGCCCCCAAAAAGGCAAACTATGTCAGGAAACCCACCTCCACTGGGACCAGGTATTGCCCATCACTTACCTTGTTGAGCATTAGGTCTAGCCCTTCTAGACAGACAGGGTTCTCCCCTTACAAGATTCTTTACAAATGCCCTTCTCCCATTATAAGGGGTATATGAGGAGATCTAAAGAAACTGGGCCGCGTTACTGAGGCAGCAGATGCAGGCTCTAGGCTCAGCCCTGGTCACTAGGTACCATTGGGTGAGGGAACAGCTACTTGTAAACCTGACCACTGATGCCCACCCCTTGAAGCCAGAGATGCAGGGTAAGAGAATGGAATGTCCAACCCCTAAAACCTCTATGGGGGGAGGGGTCTGTTCACTGTCATTTTATGCACCCCTACTGCAGTGAAGGTGGCTGAGGTGGTCCCTGGACTCACCACAGCAGAGTGAACCTGGCTTCTCATGACGGGGGGTGCATTCCAGATCCAACTTCACTGTGCAAGTTGACCATCCAAAATAAGCAAGCTGAACCTCAAGAAGACCCTGAGGACAATGGCCCTGCTTTCGACACTCTGGAAGCTGACTAATCTACACATGGCAGAAGACTGAGGAATAGACCAGCTGCCATGACTAATGGACTGTTCTTACCTCCTACATTAGTCATACTGTCAACCCCTTACCCCTGTCTGTTGTCATGGTCCTAGCTTTAATTTTTGCTGTAGGATTAGCGGAGACTATTCCAATTTACTGGCACTGGGTTGAAAAGTATCTATAAACAGTTTTTTTTTTTTTTTTTTTTTAACTTTATAGCAATATTTAATGAATACCTTCTAGACGCCTAGTACTACACTATGCACGGGTTTTAGAAAAGGTTTTTTTTTTTTTTTTTTTTTGGTGCTGCTGAGGATTGAACTCAGGGCCTTGTGAATGCGAGGCAAGCACTCTACCAACTGGGCTATGTCCCCATCCTTTTACCTCCTTTTGATAGGACATTTTGTTGCTATTAGAAGTATCTGATCTGGCTCCCATTTGTAGATTTAAGTCCCTCATCCCGTAACCCAGGCCTTCACATGACTCGATTAGCTCAAGGTATCACTACAATCTACTTTATTATATCCATTTCTCCTGCCAGGGAACAGTCTTGGGGGCCGCAGGTATAATAAGACCACCTATTCTATCTGCCAACAGGGGGATCAATATGCTTCTTTCAACCCACAGTATTTCTCCACTGAAGAATGGCTGGAATGGGGCTGGGGTTGTGGCTCAGTGGTAGAGTGCTCGCCTAGCAAGCACAGGGCACCGGGTTCCATCCTCAGCACCACATAAATGTAAAATAAAGATATTGTGGGCTGGGGATGTGGCTCAAGCGGTAGCGCACTCGCCTGGCATGCGTGCGGCCCGGGTTCAATCGTCAGCACCACATACCAACAAAGATGTTGTGTCTGCCGAGAACTAAAAAATATTAAAAATTCTCTCTCTCTCTCATTTCATCTCTCTCTCTCTTTAAAAAAAAAGAATTTAAAAAAAAAGATATTGTATCCACCTAACGTTTGAGAATAAATATTTTAAAAAAAAGAATGGCTGGAAGTCCAAAGCTGACCAGAAGGAGATGCAAAACAGGGCCTATTAATTTACAAAATTCACTTTACTAATCTAAAGCAACCAATGTCAGTACCCTTTGATGCATATTGGGGCATGAGTAAGACTTGGGCATTTGTTATGCCCTACCGTATGTCTGCCACATCACAGGGAGACATATCTGGGGAAATGGGGGACAGGCTCAAGGACAAGCATATGTGTACACAGCCTGAAGATGGTATGTGGTTCACAGGTACTGATCATGCCATTTTTTGGTTCCTCTTGGAGTGATGTTACGTGGGCCATTTGACAGAGTAGGAGAAAAACTGCTCTACTTCAAAAGGGTGTTGCTACACCTGACTATGACCTGGGAGCCCCTAACACTGTTAATTTCACTTTTGTTGACCCCAAAGACTCAGGATGGGGAACCATCCACTGAACTGGCCTATGTATAGTTGGACGAGGCGCTGACCCAGGAACCAGATGGTACTTCAAAGGGGTCACAACTTCACTTACATCTTCCTCCCTCCAGGTCTCATTCCTTTTATGAGAAAATGGAGAAAAGCCCACCTCCTATCTCCACTACAAACAGAAATCTATTCCTAACCTTGGCAGAGGCTATAGTTCAATCTCTGAATGTCTTTTCTTGCTCTGTGTGTGGAGGAACTAATATGGGGGATCAGTGGCCATGGGAGGCTAAAGAGCTAGACCGCATGAGCCCTGTAGTGGAACCATGTCTCCCTGTTTAACCACTGGAGTCTGGGTCCTCAAAACCTCTATTATTGGAAAATATTGTCTTCCCTGAGAGGGAAAATCATTTAACATCTCAGTTGGGACTCTAATATGTTTGGACCCAAAATTCTATAATGTAAATTACCCAGAAAACCAGTGGGATCCTTAAATCACACAGAAGCAAATCCCTATCCCTTGTCAAATTTCTCTAGCCTCAAACAGGCCTGGGAAAATGCTGCCACAGAAATTGAATGGCAAGCACGGGGTGGACTATACAGGCCCAGATCTTGTGTACGGGGGACAACTCACCCCTCCTTTTTCCTTCTTCCATTATCAAGAGGGAGTCCCAGTATATGAAGACCCAGGAGCTCAAAGAGAGCAGTGACCCCTGGCAATTGGTGACTGGAAAGATGATGGCCCCTGAGAGGATAATTCACTATCATGGTCCAGCCACCTGGGCAGAGGATGGGGCCTAGGGATACTGGACACATGTTAAATTGAATCATTGGGCTCCAGGCAGTTGTTGAAATTATAGCTAATGAGACTATGCAAGCCCTCAATTTATGGGCCAAACAAAGTACTCAAATGCATGATGCTATCTATCAAAACCACTTGTCTTTAGACTACTTGCTTGCTTATGCAGGTGGGATAAGTGGAAAATTAACCTGAGTACCAGTTGCTTACATATTGCTAAGGAAAGCAAGGTCATAGAAGAAATTACAGATCATATGAGAAAGATTACTCATATCGCAGTCCAGGAGACCTATTTAGAGGTTTACAATTTTGGGGGGGGATTTATAACTCTTGTAAGTGTTGTGGATTTCATGCTGGGGACCTGCCTGCTCTCACCTTGCTTGTTACCTCTGGTCATCAAATCTGTCTCCAGCCATTGGAGGCTATGGTTGAAAGAGAGACAGCTGCACACGTCATGCTGTGGAAATGTAAGCCGTTAAGTCAAGATGATGCTTTTTGACCTTGGAGGGATTGCAGCATTGTCGAAAGCCATCCATGGGCTGTATGTGGACTATCAGCAAGGCAGCCAGTGAGGGGATAGGTCTGGCATTGGGAACTTCCCATGGCACCCCACAGGGATAGACCGCCTGATGCAGGTGAACTTCCCCCTCAGTTCTGCCACAGGTCCCACACAGCCCTGGAGATGGGGTGACCTCCGGTAGCTGCACAGCCCCTCTTACATGGGTGTGACCTAACAACCTGCTGACTGCAAGACATCACAAAGCCAGACTCCACCCCTTAACCTTATCCCTGCCTTTGATGTACCCCCTTAAATAAACCACGGGAGCCATTTTCAAATTGTCTAGTTCCAGCTCCTGTATGGAGTGGATCTATCAGGGGCTCTACCTTTTTGAAACTGTCTTTTTTGACTTTGTCTTTTGTTCTTTACTAATTATTCTAGACTTTAAATTCTTAGGTGGCTTACACATTCCGTGGCAGTTACCTCTAATGAGAACCCCTAATGAGGAGCTGCCCACCTCCCCATAGAGCATCAAAGCAGGGAATGTGGCAGGAGCCCTCTTCAAAAAAGATGAGGTGGCATGGCTAGCACCTGTGTGCGCATGTGTGACTGATTCAACAGGGTGTGGCCACGGTGGAGAACACCACTGTGCTTGCATTCCCTAGACACAGAGAAGGTGGCATGGCATTCTCTGGCACATGCACAACACTGCCAATACCCAGGGGGCATGAACAACCCTGCTGCCCCCCACCCAGTGCACTGTGCAGCTCTGCCACAACTTCCTTATGAATTCATAAAAAAAACCCAAAAACCCATGAAGATGTATTTTTCCATGTAGGGGAAACAAAGGGTCTAGTATGTAGTGGGGAGGGGGAGAGGGGGACCAGCAGGGGCTACATCCTCACTGCATTCAGGAATTTGGCCTTTGGTGTGAAATCAACACTGCTTCCTGCTGAACGCCTGGTGCCCTGTTTCTCAGTATACAAATCTTACAACATCTGTATCCTCACATGGAAGAAAGAGATGAGAGATCTCTGGAATTTCTTTTTTATTTATTTATTTATTTATTTATTTTTAATATTTATTTTTTAGTTCTCGGCGGACACAACTTCCTTGTTGGTATGTGGTGCTTAGGATCGAACCCGGGCCACACGCATGCCAGGCGAGCCCGCTACCGCTTGAGCCACATCCCTTGGAATTTCTTTTTTATGAACACTGATTCTTCTCATGAGGGCTTCACCCTCAGGACCTAACCACCTCCAAATGCCCCACCCCATAACATCAGATTGGGGATTAAAATGTCAGCATATGAATGTGGGAGACACAGTAATCTAGGCCATTTGAAGAGAGCCAGACTTTTTGTTAGGTCTTTTTGTTTAGGGAGACCCATCTAGAATAGGGATAGCTTTATTCAGTCTTACAATTTAAATGCTAATCTCACCCCAAAACATTTGCAGCTCCATGTATCTGTAATTACAGCTACTCAGGAAGCTAAAACAAAAGGATCAGAAGTTTAAACCAGCATCAGCAGTTTAGTGACATCCTGTCTCCAAATAAAAAAAAAAAAAAGAGTACTGCTGTATTCATTCCCGTACTGAAAAATAAAACAAAAACAAAACACCACATCCTCACAAAATCACTCAGAGTAATGTTTTACCAAATATCTGGGCACCTCATGCCCCAGTCAAGTTGAGACATAAAAGCAACCATCACACAATGGTTTTGACATCTAGCATTTCCTTTTTTTTTTTTTTTAAATTTGTAGGTGGACACAATATCTTTATTCATTTACTATTATGTGGTGCTGAGGATTGAACCCAGGGCCCCATGCATGTGAGGCAAGTGCTCTACCACTGAGCTATATCCCTAGCCCTAGCATTTCCTTTTTATTATTAGAATTTCCGTCATTCCTGCTTACGTTGCCCAAATGATCTAACATGTTGTCTACTTTTTCCAATAAAGTCCTCTGTTACTCTGTGCTCTGTTATTACACAAAAAAATACCTGAGGCTGGGAAATGTGAAAAGAGAGAGAGATTTATTTGGCTCTCAGACCTGGAGGTCCAAGAGCAATTTGCTGGCATCTGCTCAGCTCTGCTGATGGCTTCGTGGCAGATGGCCTCACAGTGGTGGAAGTGTGTGCAGAAGAGCACATGAGAGGGGTCACATGGAGAGAGAGAAAGCCAGAGAGATTGGAGGGGACAGCTCATTCTCTGATAGTAACCCAATGGCATGGGAACTAACTTACTGTATGAGACCAGACAGTGTCCCAATGAACTGACCGCTTCACTACTCCCCACTTCTTAAAGGGTCCACCACCTCTTAACATCACCACCCTAGGGACTGTGCTTCCAATACAGAAAACTTTGGGGGAATCACTCAAATTATACCTAAACTATAGAATTCCATTCTGGGCTCCCAAGACTTCTGTCTATCTCACCACGCAAAATTCATTCATTCATCATAATAGTCCCCAGTTATTAACTTATTCAGCATCAATAGTCCAAGTCTAAAGTCTCACCTTAAACTCAAATGAAAACTCCAGCTGTGCACCCCTGTAATACTTTTTAAAAAATCTGGCAGGGCTTGGAATGTAACTCAGTGGTAGAGCACTTGCCTCGCCTGAGTGAGGACTTGGGTTAAATTCCCAGCTTGAAAAACAAAAAATTCCAAAAATAGTAACATACTTCCAGAATATAAAGATTGGATAGGCAACAAGTTAATAGTCCCCTGTTTACTTAGCAAGTTATACCAGTGCTTTATGTTAAACTTGACAAACCTATGATTTCAATACCCTTTCAATTTTAAATAACATACCATGGGATGGTGGGGAAGGAAAAACAAACACAACAAAACAAACAAACAAAAAAAAAGAAAAAGTCAAAGAAATTCTTTTTCATTTAAGGCACAGGACACAATTAACCATTTACATATTCAAGGTGAAAATGAGTTTTTTTTCTTTTGCTACCACATGTCTATGATTATAGGGATTCAAGCACATTATCCACGACAAAAAATGCCACTGTTGTACAAAAATAAAATTGTTAATTCCAACTCTTATTCTTATGCAATTTGTAGAATAGAGTTGAAAAGATTGCCATAGGTGAGACTCAAAATGGAATGATGTGGTTTGGTTGTAAAGTTAAAGGAGTCTTCTCATAAAACATTGGAAGAACTTCACCTACGCGGTGGTGGGTCGCCACCCATCGTATATATTCCCCCAGCTTATAGGTGCAGCTGATAAACCCAGCCGAAATCCCTTTTAAGATTGAGAGCCATCTCGCCACAAAGGCATGAAAAGTTAATTTCGGTTTTACTATAAATTACTGCGATTTCTAAACTTGCTTGGAATGCCTGCCCGTGCCTTGAACTCACCCATGCCCGGCTTTCCCTGACCAGATAGCAGCCCTCTCTGAAACTTTAGTGGCACCTCTTAAATTCTGGCTTTCCCTGGCCAGATAACGACCCTCTCTGAAGCTCTAATGGCGCCTCATAAATTCTGATGTTGGGATCTAAATTTACTCCGTAAGTGCTGAACCATTTAGACCATTAACCAGCTTTTGTGTTATGCTTGTCAAAATCCTGTTATCTGTAAGTTCTCAAGACACCCCTCCCCACCCTTTTTGCAACTTTCTGTGCTATAAAGCTGCGCTCCTAGAGAGCTGAGGCGCTGTCTTCTGTTCCCTCGGTTTCTGGAGAGACAGCCCCAGCAGGTGGGAATTACAAGTTTGCTTTAATTTGATTTAAATTGGAGTCGGTGGTCTTTTCTTTGGATCGTGGTTTAACACTTTCAGTGACAGCAATGAAAAAGCTGCCTAAAAACACCGAGGAGCCCATCTCACAGGCTGTGAACACCATAGCAGGCTGGAGACCAGGCCTACTGTGGATTTCCCACCAGCCCTTCCCGACAGGAGCTGGATTAGCTGAAGGAATGAACAGACTGGGACAAGTCCAGGGACTGAAGGCGACTCTTCAGGGGTGGGTGCTCCCCTGCCTGCAGCACTGGGGAGATGCAGCAGTGAGAAGCCCAGAGGGCCACCAGCATGAAGGCTGAAGATAGAGGACACTTCCTCTGAGCATTTTCTTAAACCAGCCTGGGGCACAGGTGACAACTTCCTATTGCTGGCTCTTCAAGAGATCACATGGGAGACAAGGAGCACTGGCTGGCCATGGACTGGACAAATAAGCCCTGGGCAGGGGGTGGCCTCCTGACCCTCCAGGGAGGGAAGTGGGTAAATTTACAAGTCAAAGCTACTGTGCTGGGAACCTGGTGCTCACAGATCCAGATGGCATCGCCCCCCAGTGTCAGCACCCTGCATCAGTTTATGGCAGGGATTTTTCCTGGTTCTCTCCACCTGAGGGGCAGCAGTTAGGCCAGGCCTGGCACACCTGGCCAGGAGCTGATTTGCCATTATTTATGCCTATTAAATATTTGGCATATTCCCAGTTTAGTCAACTTTTTCAACACTGTGACCTAAAGACCTGACAAGAATAATTTCAGAGGAGGAAAAGTTCATTTGGGGGCTCATGGTTTCAGAGGTCTCAGTCCATAGAGAGCTGGCTCCTTTTCTCTAGGCCCAAGGTGAGGCAGGACATCACGGCAGAAGAGGATGGGGGAGGAAAGCAGGTCAGCACATGGCCACCAGGAAGGGGGAGGGGGGAGAGAGAGAGGGAGGGAGGGAGAGAAAGAGAGAGAGAGAGAGAAGAGTTTCCCAGGAACAAAATATAAACCCCAAAGACATGACCCTAGGGACCCACCTCCAGCATCCCCTACAGGCCTAAAGTTCCCACCAGTTAATTCATTCAAGTGGATTAATGCACTCATCAGGTTTAGGCTCTCATAATCCAATACATACCTCTCAACTTTCTTGCGTTGTCTCACACATGAGCTTTTTTGGTCTGAACTGATAAATACAATCAATAAGAGTATAAGTTATAGGTTATAGATTAGTAACAAATATAGAATATAGATGGAAGATTTTGATAAGTGAGATAAGACAATTATAAAGCAAGAACTGTCATAGGCCTAAAACTCCATTTTCTTGCCTTCTATAAAACACTGTTACAAGAACTGTTTCTGAGAAACTGAAATGAAAGCTGTTTTCTTAAAATATATTGTTTTCTGTACTTTGTACCCCACAAAATGTACTCAACCCAGGATATGGTGGTCTTGGTGACCCAAGACTTTGAAGTAGATTCTCATCCCCC